AAGGACATAACTACTGTTACAGGGGTTTAGATGTCATAATCAAGGTCAGGGACAACATTCTGTGATAATCCAGAGTATGGGAGTGTGAGGGACACACTATGAGTTGATGGCTCTTTGTAACCAGTATTAATCATAGTATGTTTTTTTTTTTTTATGACCCAGGAATGCAACCAACATTCTCATTTTATTTTTCTTGGTATTCTTAGCACAGGGCTTGGCATATAGTAGGTGGTTATTAAATACTTGATAACTAAATGAGTGATGCTTTTTCTTATGAGAGAAAATAAATGTTTTTAGAAGAGTCAGCTTTATACCATGGTTTCAGGGAATGAATTGTGATGAAAAGTGAAGATTGCTTTTGCTTGAAAGAGGCTGACATATTTTCCAGACTCGGGATCACTTTCTGTGGTATATGATTTAAGGGTGAGCGAGCATGCCAAAGCACTCCACTTGAGTTGAGTGATGGGGAATGAGTTGTGGAGCTGTGGTCTTAGATGGTATTTTGTGAAAAATAGTGGGAGATTTATGGCTATTAAACAACTTCGTAGCTGCCCCCTTCTTGTTTCGAAGTCTGCCAAATCTCTCCTCCTGTGGTCTGTATCAAGTTCTTTGAGAGCGTCCATGACATTCAGAAATATCCACCGGACTGCAGTTTTTCATTGAATGCACCCATTGGAAAGGGGCTTGAATTTTACGCATTTATCAGTTCCGGTAATCACTGAGTGAAATTCTCGCTTTGCAAGTCTGTTGTAGAATACACTGTACGTGCATTGAATCTTCTCCAAGCAGGTTGCCAAAGTTCTACCTTCCTTCTTTCCGTTATGGATATTGCAGAGTGCAGTATATTAGTGGCTATTTCCTTTATTGATGTGAGTTTTAAAAATTATTGGTAACTCTTTGATTGTAAGCAGGAGAAGAATCAAGTAACCTTCAGAATGCTTTAATGTATATTCAGCAGAAGGACTTACAAGGCCAGAATGAGTGTTTCAAGCCTTGCGGGGAAGGGGATACATATTTACCATCATCTGCTTTTTTCTATTCTAGAACTCACTCTCAGTAGCTCTAGAAGAAACAGAAATGGGATATTTCATCACAAAAAGCCAATCAGAGATGACATTCATCCATGTTGTACAAGTACTAGAGAACTGTTACAGGAATTTTTCTCTCATTATGGGTTCATGTCAATATAGGAGTGCATGGATTAGAAAAGAAATAGGGCCTTTTGGTGTTTTTTAAAAAATTTCAGGCTTAAGTCTGAGAAATTTCCAAAATGTAGAAAAGTTTTAAAAATAATGAACACATGTAGGGATCATCCAGAATTTGTGGTTTCTAATACTTTGACATTTTTTTAAAGTCTTCTTTAAATGAAAGAAAGAACATCATATATACAGCTGAAGTTCCCCTCTCTCCACATCCCACTAGCCCCAGTCCTACTACACTGCCCCTTGGCAGAAGCAATCTTTTTCATGAATTTAGTGTATATTTTTTATAATTTTTAGATGTTTCCATACATACATGAAATCAACAAACTTTATGTTTCCATAAATATTATATTACATTTATCATCTTGCAACTTGAATTTTCACTCTGTATTACATTTTTAGACCTATTCTAAGTGAGATATAGAAATCAGGTTTGTTTCTCTTAAATACTAAATATTATTTGGTCTTACTGATATACAACATTTATTTATTTTCCTCATCGACAGACATTTGAGTTAATTCCAGTTTCTTCTGTTATAAATAATGCTGCAATAAACATTGTTTTATGTTTCAATTTGCAGAACCATGTGAGATTTTCTGTAGAGTATATATTTTAAGTGAAATTGCTGCACCAATTTTCAATTTTATTAGATATTGCTAAGTTACTCTTCAAAGCAGTCGAACCAATGTACATTCCCACTAGCAAGGAATGAGAGGATAACAGTTTCTTTTTCCTTTGTTCTCACTAGTACTTGCTATTGTGAGACTTAAAAGTTTGTCAATATGATGAGTGGAAAAATCATATCTTGTTTTAATTTGCATTGCCCTTAGTCCTAGTAAATTTCAGCGACTTCACTTATGTTCATTGACTGTTCAGGTTTTCTCATCTTTGAATTTCCAGACATTTCCTTTGTCTATTTTTCTATAATATTTTCTATTGATTTAAAAACATTCTTTTTTTATTTGGATATTAATTATTTATTGTAGATATTGCAAATATTTCCTGACAGGAGAATTTAAAAAGTAAAATGTAAAACTATAATTCCTTGCCATAGGCATTTACAAAATATGGCAAGAGCCGGGTGTGGTGGCTCACGCCTGTAATCCCAGCACTTTTGGAGGCTGAGCCAGGTGAATCACCTGAGGCCAGGAGTTAAACACCAGCCTGGGCAACATGGTAAAACCCTGTCTCTACTAAAAATGCAAAAATTAGCTGGATGTGGTGGCACGTGCCTGTAATCCCAGCTACTCAGGAGGCTGAAGCATGAGAATTGCTTGAACCGGAGAGGCAGAGGTTGCAGTGAGTTGAGATTGTGCCTCTGCACTCCAACCTGGGCAACAGAGTGAGATTCTGTCTCAATAACAACAACAAATTTGCCAAGGATTCAAATATTTGAGAGTCTTTATAATCTTCAAGATTCAGATTTACTCAGATTTGCTTATTCTCATTTTAGGCATATCTTCTTAATCCAGGCAAAAGAAAACATTATTTAAATTTTACATTACTGCATACTCAGTATACAATGGGTATACTGCCTCAGTTTCAAGGCGAGTTCTTTATTCTTTGGCAGATACTGTATAAATTTAAGACATTTTCTTGCCCACTTCTTTCATATGATAATTGTGTCTTTCTGAATTATGCTTCTAATCCTAAGGTTCAGTGAACATCACTATTGAAAGAATCACATGGGCTTCATTTTGAAAAAAGCCAAGTCAAAGAGCTGATAGTTGGAACATTGATTTGTAGTTGTTTTCCTAAACATCCAGCCATAGAAGTCCCACCAAAAGGCATAGTTTGCAAAATCATTCTTTCCTGGATTATTTTCCATGATGTGAGTTTATCAATGGACACTGAGCAGAAAAGTAATTAAGTGCTGGTCATAGAATGATGACTGCAAAACAACAGAAGCCACACCATTTTTTGCTCTACCTAAAATACAGAACAAAACTAAATATCTCTTTTACGCTTGGTTACAAAATTCTAATGTGTAGCACAGTCAGAGGTGTATCCGAAAAGGTGGCATTTGTTCCAGTAATTGTAGAAAAAAGCTGTCATCAAATTGTCAACAGCCCAAATCGAGATTAAAAGTTCTAAGAAATATCACAACACAACAAACTAAAACTCATACTGGATTTTTGGGTCTTTTTTTAAAGTGATGAGATGGAGCAGAAATATTGACAGCTATGGCTTCCTATGGAGGAAGTATGATAGATCTAGGGAGGATGACCCCTGTACCCTCACCCCATATATCCTGCCTCAAGCATTAAATAGATGTCATATTTAGGACACTATCATCATGTTTCATTCATCATGTAGAAATTACAGGAGACCTTGAATACCAATAGAGAGATACTTGGTGACTGTAGTATTTGATTTTTAATCTAATTTTGGGCTCCACATTCTTGTAGTGTGCTAAAAAGTGGAAAAGTCTTTCCTACTTTAAAACATGTTTTTCTTGATGACTAAGCCTTTATTTCTGTGGACCCAATAGTCTTGGATCCAACTTGAAACACCGTATATTTGCCTTGGAGCTGGAGTGAAGAAGTGCGACCTGAAAACTGTTTTCTACCTAGGGACAGGGCTTCTGATTTTGCTGCACTCTCTTCCTGTAAGTCTCCACTGAAAGCCGCTTAGTCAAACGTCTCAAATGTCAGAAATGAAATTTAAAGGGTTTTTCTAGCAAGTAGGTCTAATCTCCTACTTAGTTTTGATTCCTATAATATAGGTAATCTCTTTGGAGAAAAGGCCTGCTTTTAGGAGGGCAAATATATCCCATAGAATGTATTTCCTACTCCGGAAAGAAAAATGTAGCATTAATGAAATTTACTTTTTCACGAAGCTTGGAAAGATTGTAAGCTTCAGATTTTGATCCTAGCAGATGTTCTTTTTGGGATATTAAAAAAAAAAAAGCTGCATTTGATTTAGGCATCTCAGTTAAGAGTTACAGTGGTAATAATGCTTCTTGCTACTAGCAACCACACTGTGAGTGTGGCATACTGGCCATTGGTTCTGAGTGATAGCTGACCCCAAGCTGAAGTACTTTCTTTTGGCTTTAGCTCACAAGGATGTTGGGTTCTGAAAAGAGAGCCTTAGCAGCTTGGGCCATCTCAGACACCGTTCTATGGTTAAAGAGTTGTCTGCATGCAGTGAAAAAGCATCATCCTAGATGTATCTGATGTTATTTTCTTTTAGGCCTTGGAGTGACACATTTGTTGATAAGCACTACATCCCAAATCCAAATTTCAGATGTATTTCTCATCGCTGTTGTTAAACTGAGCCAGAATCCCCAGTGCACAACACAAGACAATTTATATCCTTTCCTATGGTGACTTCATTCTGCTGAGTCTTTCATGCCACTGGGCTCATGGAAGTCAGCCCTGGTTTTCCCCATTTATCCCTAGGGGCAGAACTTAACCTCTTCACTAGTATCCAAAGAAATCTGCCTATAGCCAGCCTTTACTTTGTGGGAATTACTGGATGAAGGCCTGATGGAAATCTAAGCCTTTAACTTTTCCTGTCTTCTGCCTCTCTCTTTCTCCTCCTCCCTCTCCTTTCATTTCAGCACATAAACTGCCCCCTTTTCTTAGAGCTATTCCATATGTACCAAGGCCCCTCAAAGCTTTGGATCTTACCCAACACTTACCAGAATATTATTTCAACAAAAACAACTCTTGCTTCCTAAGAAATATCTTGGTGGATAATTTTCTCCAAGCTTAGATCCCAAGGAGACGAGTCTAGGTAAATGAGGAGTTTGGTATTTGGTGTTGCTTCATGTTGACTTTTTTTATGTCACACAGGCTTCCAGTGAGGATGTTGCCGGCTCCCCGGAGCTCCACTACACGCCCTTGCCTTCTGCTTCCAGGGAACTCACCAGTCACCAAGGTTGGAACTCAGCTTTTTATTGCTCTCAGTGGGTGCAGGGAGGGACACTTGGCTGTGCAGAGCTCTGGCTCATTACTGCTGCCTCGGCACTTTAGAAAGAACACAGTGCTTTTTAAGTCCTTGATGAGAAAACCATACCTGTCACACGTAGTGATTTTAACCTGTATTAAACAGAATTTAGTGGCAGTCTACTCAGGAGGCAAATAAATCTACGGTATAATATAATTTTGTGATTTTTTTTCTTTAAATAAAGAGATTAGAGTACTTAAAAATTATCAAGGAGATGTTAACTCCAGTATTAGTGATGGAGAGAATTTGGGAAACTCACTAACATTTATAAAAGTGTCATTGTTTGAGAATATAACAACATCTGTAATTTCAAAATGAATGAACTCTACGTTATAACTAAAAGGAATTCCAATTTGCCTGGCAACATTGAGAGAAGCCATGTGCAGTTTTTGCTGAATTCCCTTATTCTCAAAACGTTAATTTGGTTTACTCAGTTTTACCAAAGCCTTGCATGTCTGTTGCCATCTCTAGAGTCTTCAACTTCAAAAGCAGACAGAACACTGACATGAAATATTTGAAAATGTCTTATCCCTAAGCTGGCTGTTTTAAATATTGTTTCCCCAAGAAGGAAATTCCACTTGTACATGTAAAGAGGAACGTGAACAGGGACTATTCCGGCATTGTCATCCCAGCAGCATTGCAGGATGAGCAGGTGGAAGAACAGGCTGTGTAGATGCTCAGAAAGTAGTGAACCTGACCCTCCGAGTCACCATCTGGGCTCTGGGCAAATGGGATACTTGTATTCTGCAGGAAATGAAGAAGAGAGTAGTGCAGGATTTCCAGTGTCTGTGGCTTGGACCTGTGTTGCCTTTTTGGTGTCTGGGCATCAATAGAACTTTTCTACATTTAAATATACTTTAGTTAATTTTGTGAAAAATCAATTTTGCTCCAAGTTGGGGGAATAAGCTGCTGCCGACCTGCTGTGTTTTGAGGGGTCTGAACAGGTCTCTTTCGCTGAATATTCTTTTGGAGGTCTTAAGCATACATCCCTTTCGAGACTGTTTTTGGGGGAATTTCCCTAAAATGACACCACATCTAGTTGGAGCAACAAATTAACTCTTAAATTAGCCTCATATCCTCATGTGTTTATTTATTGGTTTCTTGTATTTGAATAAGGGTATTTTTACTTTAGAGTCTATTGAATAAGTTGCATAGAAACCGAAGTCTCAGAAACCTCCCAGCCACTTGTAAAGTTTATCTGGCCATGAAATTGAGATTTCACAATAGGGAGAGATGATCAGATAGATGATAATCATTAGGAATAGGGCAAATATCATCTGTCATTTTTAACAGTAATATAAAGAATCTGAGACTTGAAGGAAGGAAATATAACACAATATGGTTTTAAGATATTTGGAATAATATTTGGAATATGGAAAAATGCCTAAAGTTGTTAGAGTTCAAATAAGTGCTCTTGGATGACATTAGGGCCTAACATCAATGAGAGAAATGTAAAGACATTTTTTAAAGGGAACCAACACAGACATCTCAATTTTACTGAAGAAAATCCCTACACATTTAACACATTGGTTTCCTGATCAGTGCTGATTTGGTTGTTGATAAAAGCAAGTCCGCACCATCAAATGATCTTTGGGCTGATGGCCATAAGGAGACCAATAAAGAGAAGACCAAGGAAGTTCATTAAAGCTAGATTATTGAACTGATCTGTGCCGGAGAAAGGTGAGACTAATATATTTTAGCTTGGCATAAACCAATTTGGCTTGAACCAACTTAGCTTTTCCCAAATGAGAAAGTCATTATTTTTTGGCACTAAAATGAAACCACTTAATACTATCTCGTTTTTTTTAATATTTAAGAGAATTATTTCAAGTTTCTGATCATGTAAATCACGAAACTATTTGAATGTCATTTGTTAATACCTTCATGCAAACAGCTTACAAACATTTATGCAGAAGGGGGCCTTTCATGGTGTGAGGACAAATTACATCAATTCTTTCTCCAGTGAAATTCTCCATGATGTCTGAAACTTTTGTCTATACAGTCCTCACTGGAAGTTCTCTTTGCAAATAATTTTTTATTCATCCAGTTCCCAATCTCTTTTCCTTCCGCACCAACAACTACAGAAACTGGCGGGCAGTAGTTCATGCGCAAATTGCTATTTTTCTGTACATGCCATTTTCCCTTTACTTGTCCTTTTATGTAACTTCCAATGTCGAGTATGATAGGCCCAAGATTCGTGTCCTAAAAACTGTAGATTCAAATGCAAAGGAAGTCCGGGCTTAGAATAATGATCAGGAGACCTGGGACTCAATTCTTCCATCTGCTACTTGTAGATAATCCATATATCACAGGGATAGTAACATGTCGTACTTTGCTTCCTACATGAAACTTTTACTGATCTGAGTTATGTTGATTTTCTTCTTTCTATAGGTACATCTGATATTTGTTTCTATCTTCCAGGTGCAATTGTTCATATTCTACTTTGTATGATAAAGGTCAGGTTCTGTGTGTCTTAAACTCCTTATAAATGAAAACTTCCTGAGAGGTAGCAGTAAGTCCAAATCATCTTTTTTTTTTTTTTTTTTTTTTTTTTTTTTTTTTTGAGATGGAGCCTCACCCTGTCACCCAGGCTGGAGTGCAATGGCACAGCCTTAGCTCACTACAACCTGCCTCCCGGGTTCACGTGATTCTCCTGCCTGAGCTTCCTGAGTAGCTGGGATTACAGGCACGCACTACCACACCTGGCTAATTTTTTGTATCTTTAGTAGAGACATGGTTTCACCGCGTTGACCAGGGTGGTCTCAAACTCCTGACCTCATGATTCACCTGTCTCGGGCCCCCAAAGTGCTGGGACTACAGGCATGAGCCACCGCTCCCAGCCTCATCTTCTCTTTGATATCACTGACACTGCCCATTCTTCAGGTATCAGCTTACATATCACAGCTCCAAAGGAAACTCCCCTGATCCCCCCTACACACTTATATTAGGCCAGTGTTCCCTGTTCAGGGACTATCTTCCTAGATGGGCCATAAGCTGTTGGAAAGAGTGGTTGTGATTACATATGTTCACCACTTTATCTGCAATGCCTGGCACAGAGCCTCCTACCTAAATGGAGTTCCATATATATTTGTTCAGTAAAGACTGAGTAATAGAAACCCAGGGGAAGCGTGAGTATCTTAGTCACCTCTGCAAGGTAACTTGATTGCATGTGAGAAAGGAGACCCTGCCTCCTTTGGGGGTGAACACACTAAAGGGAAAGGTCTAGCTGTGTGGACCTCAGACTTCAATTCTGTTGCTTTCATAAACCCAAACCATCAGGGATGGGTGTCATATGTGTTGATTCATTACCAGAGAGCATTTAGTCGCAAAGCCTAACTTCTAAATAGTTGATTATTTCAATGTTGTAGTTTTCAAGCATTGGTAGTTTGATGGTAGGGAAGGGAATAGAATGAATTGAAGTAACTGATGGAATTATGTTACTAGAACAGAAAGTCTCAAGGAAGGGGTCAGACTCTCAGTAAGGTAAAGATTGTGGTACACACATGGATTTAGAATGGTCCACCTGAATTCTCTCTGAGAATGCTGCCCTGGGTTGGAGCACATCTTTGGAATGAGGAGGACACGGGGATGTGTCAGTAATCTCAGTTGTTCCCTAGTGACAATCTACATATTGTGCCCTTGGCTGTGTCCATGTTATGAGGAGTGCTAAAATATCTGTTGGAGAAATGTCCCTTTAAATATGTTATGAGTACAGGACATGCCCTAGCATGCCAGGTATTGCCGTTCTTTACCTAGTAGCTCTTAGAAGTAGAATTCACATTTGTACAGGGCATTGTATCTTTTGGGGAAAACATTTCTATTTAGAATGTAAACTATATCATCCTCAAGAAAACCCTATAAAGTGGGGAGGGCAAATATTATTCCCATTTAACAGAGGGAGACATCAAGAATTGATGGGGATGATGGAGCAACTCAACAACAGGCAAGGGAAACAAAATCAAACCCTGTGCCCTTAATTCTCAGGTCACCCCTGACTTTTGTCCTTTACCCAGTGCATATGAAGCAAATGTAGGTAGGACTAACTGTGGCCTTGAGCTGGAAGGAAGAGGAGAAAAAGTACAGGTAGAGGCATGGCCTGGAAATGTTCACCACTGCCATGCATTTCCAAAGCCTGTGCTAAGGCTGCTAGGAGATACTTGCCTGCCTCTGTCAAAGAATTGCATTACTCCTGCTCCACCATTCTTTATTTTTAAATTACAGAACAATAAAATCAGGAGTGGAGAAGGTTTGAAAACAAAAAGGGACAATGCTCCATGTCAGTCTGGATGGGGAAAATAGAAGGCACGCTATGTATTCCAGTAATGAAGAGTTTTAATGGAAGGAATTAGAGGTGCTGCCACCACCCAGTCTCAACCTCAGCACTGAACCAGTGATTCTCAGCAGCTTGCTGGAAAGTTTCTGTGGATCACAGGAACACCTAGGCATCTCTCACTGACTTTCTTTATCTGAAGCACCTGTGCAGGGATTCTCACATTCACCTGGAGACTGTTTCAGTCATTGCCATTATCCATACGTTGCTCTGCTCCTCCTTTTCTCTAGATTTCCAGATCATACTCCAGCATCTCTCTTAGGCCAACTCTCACCTAGGTTGATTCGCTGAAGGTGATTCTGAGATATACAGTTTTCAGTTCTCCCTTGAAGCTACAGAGAAAACCTTAGAAGAAAGCGGATGGTGGTAATGCTAAAACAGAGAATCCAGCACATCTACCATAACCCCGCCTTGCCAATAGCTATCACGTGGAGGATCTCATTTCAACTTGTCTGCATACACGCTTTGCAAGATAATTGCAAGCCTAGTGAATGCCCCCGAATTATTTATTTCCTGATGCTTATACTATAGTCTTGAAGGTATGCCATAGTTAGCTTGCCATATTAAACATTGGACTTGAAATGTATAAAAGAAAGAAAGC